TGGACTAATGCCTTGTGATTCTTGCAGCCAACATGTCTGGTGTAGATGCACGTCGTCTGCTATCAAGCAACCAGAAGCATAGGGCAAAGAGATCGCGCCCCGACCAAGCGTCCACCTTTGAGACCGCCGAGTTCGAGGCTGCGGACCCAGCCTTTGTTCTGCCGCCAGAAGTCCCACCTGTGCCATTCGAGGGAGTAGCCGCGGGAGGCGGCGAAGAAGAAGAAGAGGTTCCACCCCGGGAGCAGTACCCTCCGGCCGCGCGGTCCGGTCCCACCGTCTTCCCGCGGTTCCCTACGGAGGGGAGGGACGTAAGCGTCACCAAGTTTCTTGTGGCCACGCGGAAGAGCCAGCTGGCAGTTAGCCATGAGGAGGTCGCGGACTAGACCGGGATGCACCATAGGCAGCTCGCCAAACTGGCATCGGCTCACTGCATGGTGGTAAGTGCCTGCTTCTTCCCCTTATTTTTTTCAAGGACCTGCTCACCCTTCTGGTTGATTTCCTCCTCCGTCCCTATAAACTGGTCCGCGAGCTTAAGAAACTCGGTTTCTGTCTTGGGCCGATTAACAACCATGTGCCACTAAAATTCTTTGTGCGTGATGCCTCTCTTGGTCGCGGTAAGCCGAACTGCGGGGTCTAGGTCGGGTATCTGTAAACAAGCGTCATTGAACCGCTTGATGTAACTTCGAATAGATTCTCCTTCCCTCTGGACTATGCCAAGGAGGCTCTCCTGTGTTCTCGGACACCGTTTGCTGGTGATGAAATGAGAAGTGAAGACTTGCATGAACTGCACCCAACTTCTTATTGACCCGGGCGCCAGGTTCCTGTACCATGTGCGGGCTACTCCTTTGAAAGTGGTGGAGAAAGCCACGCACGTGCAGGACTCACTGGCCCTTGCCAAGTGCATCTGTGATTGGAAGGCGTCTACGTGATCATTCGGGTCGAATGATCCGTCATATTTGTCCAGGGGAGGTAATTTGAAGTCCTTGGGCATTGGGACGGCCAAGAGTTCTGGAGACAGAGGGGATGGTACAGAGAGGAGCGGAGTGGCTTTCACTTCGCCCGAGCTTACCTCTTCCTTACCCTTGAGCTCGGGCAGATTGTGCGTTGCAGTTCGGCGAGCTCGACGACGTCTCCGCTGCTTTTTTGCGGACTCCGCCTTGGTGCTGCTGGCCTCGGTATTGTCGGGCACAGTTTTTGCGGGGAGGGGGACAGATTGCTGGTGATGGCTACGGATAGAGAGATCTTGCCTGGAGTCTGCGGCCAAGACCTCGAATAGGTTCTCCACAAGCGGGGCCACGAACTCGGAAAGCTGAGGTGATGCGGGCCTGGTAAGTTGAGACCCTCTCGACCTGACTGCGTGCGGCGATACAGGGGTAACTGGTCTTTCCTTCCTCCCGTGGGATGAGACTTGACTCTTGAGAGGATTCTGGGTCTTAGAGGTCTATCCCCGGCGAGAAGGACGTTCGTTCTGACGGCGAGGCCTGACTTGTTGGCGGCCGGATGTCGAGGAGGAAGCGACTGTTGGGTCTGAGGCAGCGGAGGAAACTGCTGCTGATAGTGATGCTGAGAAACTTGGTGCAGCACTTGCTGCTGATATAGTTGGAATTGCTGGACCTGTTGCATCTGAGCTTGCATAGCTTGCTTGCATTGCACCAAGTCTTCAAGTTAGTTTTGGGCGGTCGCCGGAAGAACAAGGGAGGGTTCGGTGAAGGTTGTTCCAACCCTGCAAGGGAGTGGAACATTCACGGGTGCCATTGTTTGAGGCATGTTTAAAATGGGAACTCCATCCGCGGAGAGGGGGACGGTGAACTATCCAATTCACACCGCCGGGACCTGGAGTTGCTCCCCGGCGGTGTTCATTGCTGCACTGCGTCCTGCGTTGCTGGAGGAAGCCATGAGAACTAAAGTCTACAAAGTTTTAGTGGAAGGCTTTTTGAAGCGTTCCCACAGACGGCGCCAAATGATATAATGCATCCGGTCACTCCTAGCTGGCGGTGGCCTGGCTCCTAACTGGCAACGAACAGTACCTGAGATGGAGAAGACAGTGAAGGATTCCCGAGGAGCTCGCCCGACGGGAACACTCCGACGGTCAAGTTAGAACTCTGAGAGAGAATTGCAGAGAATACAATGAGAGCTAAGAGTGCAGATAGCGCGAAATCAATTCGTAGAAGTTTTTTCTGCCCCTTGGAAATCGGGACCTTTATATACTGATGTTCTGTCAAATCGGGTGTAACCGCCTTTGATCCTCTGCTACAGCCGTTATTCGCCAGGCTGATTTGATTGGTGCAGGTATCCGTCGCAGAGTACGGTCCTATCAGTTGAGAGACGTTATGCAGAGCCAACGTGTACCACGCTGCCTGACGTGAGACATGGGCGCAATCCTCTGGACTGGCATGTGCTGCGCCGTCAGACAAGAGACGTGGGAGCAGTCTTGACAGGCACGGTCTTGTTGGATGAGAAGTTTCCCGAAGACTTCGGGTCGCTTAATAGCAAGCTCCTTTGTAGCGAGCTCCCTTGTAGCGAACTCCTTCGTAGCGAGCTGCCTTGCAGCAAGCCGTTCTGTAGCAAGCTGTCTTGTGGCGAGTTATTCTGCTATGGTTTCAACGAGCCCATTACGCCAAGTTGCGGCCAATCTATCATGCTGAGTTATCATTTACGTCGGATGAAATCACCCTCCATCAATAATAAATGAAGAAACTATATTAAGAGCAAAGAGATGGCAGTAGCGAGTTTTACCAAATTAAAAGCAATGAGAAGTATACCTTCATCTGGACAACTCAATCGATTAAAGATATTCCTTCATAGAATTTTAACCTACCAATCAATTGCATTATCCCCAATATTACATCTTTAGTCGATCACAACATCCCTCACGTGAACAAATCTAATGCAGAATTTCCATTCATTGCATCATCAATCATAGCATCCTCGGCCCGACCCAATACCCTTTACAAATTATGGTTTTTAAAACTGAACCGGTCAGGGGTCCAGTTATCAGATTGAACGGTCCAACCGTTTAAACCAAACAATCGGTCCATTCTAACAAAAAAAATAAAAAAACAGTCAAAACTGTTCAAACGGGTCAGTGGTTTGCTGACCAAAATAATAGGTTTTGGAAAAAATCTAATTTTGGAGAAAAACGGAACTGGTCACCTGACCGGTTCCCAGTTTTTCTGGTCCGGTCCGATTTTGAAAACCATGTTACAAATAGAAGGATTTTAGATGATGAGAGGAGTTTACTTGCAAGATAACATTGCACCAAGTCAAAGGAGAGAGAGAGAACAAAGGAATAGGGTCTTAACTCTTAAGAGCTGGATTTTTAAGAGGCAATTTGTTTAGGAAAAAAATCCAAATTTTCTCCCACTATCTGTTTTGGCAATTATGTTGAAAACGTAACCAAATTTGCTAATTGACCAAACTTGATCATTTTTATGCAAAAATCCCTTAATTTTTTTTTTAATTCATCCAATAATTTTTTTATTAATTCATTTAGTCATGATTAAATTACGTTTTTTGTTTGAAATATACTCTTGATATGGAATCGAAACAGAGGGTACCAACAACGCCTATGACTATGTGGGTGTGATGTTGTTCAGACTATCTATACTTATTTTTGTCCACAAAAAATAAATATATAGAGAGAGAGAGAGAACACACCACATAATTTATCAACCACAGTACAAAACACCCCCAGAATCAAACCGTTTTGCACGTCCATAGGGGACTTTATTTCATACCATTTCCATCGTTATTTAAGCTGTGTCCCAACCATATGGGGTTCGCTAATGACATTTGGCAAATGTTTTAATGCCAGCTGCCAACCTGACAGAACCCTCCTTTTTCCAGGCTTGGGATTGGCAGTGCAAGATAACCTCAAACTGGCGGATTTTATTTCATAATCACAAAAAAAATAAATGGCACTTCTATCTCAAAGCTCTTGCATTCATGGACACAGGTGGTTTTACAAAGAAACAGTTCAAAACATATAAATTACAAACACGAATACAAATTGAAAGTATTTAGTTTCCTCCGTATTGTAGTAGAGAAACAAACAAAAAAAAGGACTAGCGATGGATCTGATATTATCTCAGCTGGCCAAGTGACTCGGGGAGCTGTTGAACATGGTGTGCCACATGTATGCTCTTGAAAGCACCATTTCAAGCTCTTGGTGGGTCCAGTTCTGAGTAGGAAGATGTTGAAGAAACATCACCATCTCTTGAAAATCAAGCTTTTGCAGCTTATCTGACCACTGGAACAAGGTGCCAAGAAATAGAAATTTTACCTTAAATTGTACAAAATTTATCAAAGAAAAAAAAATTACTTCAACTCATGCACTACAGATATATAAAAGCCATCCTAAGCCCAAATTTCAGAAGATCAAACAACCTCAAGAGATTTCAATCTTATCCGATTCTCCATACTCCCATAAATAACAAGTGATTGATCATACAAGTCAGAAAGCTTAGCATGACAAAAACAGCTTTCAAATTGATTACATGAAGTGGTTATGGCCATGGAATCAATGTTATTCTACTATCCTGCTCTGGTGGTAGTACCATTAATTGCAATTTCATTAATAACAGTAACAAAAACATAAAATAAAAAATACACTTGGAATAATATCCATCCCACAAGATAGGCATTTTAATCCATGTCAAGATGTGACAATGACATATGAATATGAAAGTGACGTGGTAGAGAAGAAAACCAGAAAAGTGATAATGACATTTTTCAGAAATGAGCTTAGGGTCATAGTCTATTTTTTTTTTTTGATAAGTAAAAAAGAAAATCCATTAAAAGAAAAAGCAAATATAACCTAGAGAGGTGTCGAGGAAATACCTCCACATAAAGCTAAGGAACAACTCCCCAAACACTTCCCTTTGAAAAACTTTTTCACCCAAATCCCAACACAACAACCCTTCAAATATCTTACAAACCCAACCACCCCAAAAGAAACATAAAAACTAAAACCCAGAATTTGCAACATCCACAAGAGCACATAAACTAAGCCTGAGAACCAAATGCAGAACAACCACAGATACACAAGCCTCACCCTTTGACCTGCAGCATACCAGTAAAACACTTCACTCTTCATCAACTATGTAAAACTCCTCTCCTTCACCTTCCTCCCATTTCCCACCCCCCTCCTCAACTGCAGTCTTCTTATTACTTTCCTGCCTTCTATTCTGTTCAAATTGTTTGATTGCCTTCCTCACCACCGCTTCTCCCCTCAAAAAGAAAAGGCCAAGAGATTTTCCAACTGCCAACTGTCTATCTACTAGTTGATCAATGCCGACTTTACCTCTTTCCATTATATTTGCCTTGGGAGTTTCTTCAGCTTTATTCCTTCCTATTTCCTTTTCCCCCTCGCTACTCCACCCCCCCCCCTTTCATTATTTTTCTCCTCAGCCTTCTTCCTGCTATCTCTATGTTCCTCCACATTCCTCTCATAATACTTTAACCTATACTTATCCTCCTTTTCCCCTGTGAGATGTTCCCCTCTTTGATAATTTAAATCAATGCTCTGAGCCTTCTTATCTGAACCCACAGCTAAACCATTTACATCCTTTCCTTTTGTGTTTTCTCTTAAATCTGCCACATTGACCGTCCCCAACCAGTCTTTCCTTGAGATGAAGAAAAACCTTGGTGACATGAACGAGCTACCCATTGCTAGATCCTTTCTTTTTTCTCAGCTCCCCTGCCCTGGGGTTTTCATGATTAGTCAACTTCGACACATCTTCAACTATCATCCTCCCCAGACCCCTCCCCAACTTTCCAATGAAAACCAAAGAACTCAAAACTTCTTCTTCACCCGTCCTCTTATTAATCTCGTCACTTGTGACTCCCACCAATTCATGGACCAAATCTTTACGACTGAAGTCACAAGTGGGAACCTTACTGTTTGATGAGGTGAAACTCACATTCTTTTTTGGAAATCCTTCCTTGTCCTGATTTCCACTCATTTCAACTCTTTCTGCCACTCCATCGCCCTCCTTTTCCCCATTTGGAACTTTGATAATCTCTTTCACTGAATGAACGGCCAATTCCTTGGCGGAAACACTTTCTTGTGCATCGCTATCTTCAAAAACCCATGGAAGTGCTTTGGAAACACACTTCTCTGCAGTTGTTTCAGCCTCCAAATGCTCAGAAATGCTCGATTCTTCCGGTCTTATGAACTTCATAATCACCCACTCCCAAAGCTCCTTCTTCCTCTTGCCCTGAATGCCAAAAGACCTAGAAGCAATTTGTTTAAATCCTGTTACCTTCTTTGCCCTCAACCGCGAAGATGTATCCTTCCTCACCAATCTTTCTCCTTTAAAACCTAGTCCCCCATAGTTCATACGCAAAACGCGAGCTGGCTTCAAAGACAAAGAAGAAGATAGACCAGAAATAGTGTCCTTCAAACACGAGGCTTTAGAAGTCACATGGGCAGAAGTCTGGATTTTTACAGTGGTCATTTCTTTTGGGTCACCTAGTCAATTATTGGCCTCTTCAATCTGATTCTAGGGCCTCCTGAATGTGATCTAGGGGATTTTAAGGAGATATGGAGTTCTCATCGTAATTTTTATACAACTGAATCCAGACTTTCCTAATGTTGTATTTTATGAATTATGATAGATTTCCATGTCATTCTAGTTCCTTCAAACTAATTTTGGATATTTTTCCTCCTAGTTTTTTAATGCCATTTTAGGGGTTTACTATAGTAACTGTTGGGTATAAAGTATTTTTTATGGATAACATCTGAAATGAATTTATCAATAAGGAAAAGAGCTTTAGCCCCTGCTAGAAGGAAAAATCCTTTAGCAGGGAAGCAAGCATATCTAAGATTTTAAATAGCTAGTTCTGGGTTTGTCTTTCTGCTTTTCTCCTGTTATTGTTACAAGGGTAGCTGAGGCTACTCTCCATTGTAAATTTCTTCTACATAAATAAAGTTTTCTCTATTTTTACTGATAAAAAAAACATATCTAAAATTTACAACAGCATACAGGATAAAGCTGAGAAAGCAAAATGCATATAAATAAGTACAAATGTGCAATCAGGTTTGATATTCTGCCCCTGGGCCAGGATCTGCACATGGAAGAACTAACCTCTCAATCCCATCCCTAACCAGTATCTAAAATTATAGCGACCAAGGAACCCACCTGAAGGAACAGTTCAAGAAGGCAGTAAAGGCTTTTGCCTCACTAAGCACGAACCAAAGAAGTCAAAAGCCATCTTCAGCTGAATCCATCTAATCAACCACCAGTTAGCAATTCCCTTCAATCAAATGTGGTGTCCCAACCAAAATGATAGGCCAGCTTAAGGCCAGGTAACCAACACTTGCACTCATATAATTGCCTTGACCTGTAGGCCCATAGAAAGCTCAAAAATATGGTACCTGTATGGTCTCTAAAAACATTCTCCAACCCAGAAGATCCAGGGCTGCCCAAGGCATAACAATCAAAATTAAATTTTTTACCCTCCCAATTTTCCGGTGCAAACTCCACCAGTATGAGATTGTCTTACGCTGCTGGTCTCAAGCCCAGATAATGGAGAAGGGTTGTCTCAGGTTGGGAGCTGGAATTAAAACCTCTGCTGAACTCTTGTGAACATGGAATGTGATGATTTTTCTGGTGCAGGATACCCTTCTATTATATGTCGTCAGTCGTCACCATTGGGAACAGCAAGTTGTTACTTGACATCCCCTGAGGATAAAGTCCAAAAACACCATTATCTCATTTCTTGTCAATACCTAATGAGCTAGCCTAACCACCATGAAATCAAATGATTGTATAGACCTCTAGCTAATTATTGAAAATTCTATCGTTTCTTGCATTTTGTACACTCTAAAATATAGCTGTCCCTAAGCATCTCCACATGATCTTGCCTCTTTGTATAAGGAGCCTCTAGAGGGAAAATTCAGTTCTATATTTCAATTATGTAAGAACAAGATGGGAAAAGGTGGTTGGCATTCTCACTATTATTCAAGCATAGGAAACACAAATGAGAAAACTGAACCATGATTTCCATCTCAGTAGCATCTCACTGGTATTTATTTTCAAAACAGCTTCTTAGCAAAATGATCTTTGGAGTAGGAGCACCCAAAAGAGATTGACAGGACAAGGAAGAGAAAACAAGAGTGAATGATCAAGTCTTTTGAAAAAATCAAGAGCAGGAAATTGTATGCAATATCTCGGATGTCCAAATACTGAAGTCACCTAAAAGAGGCATACACCATTTAAGACCCCATCACTCATGGTCCCAAAGACCCCTTCTAAGTTCTAAAGCCAAAGTCCTAAGCTAGACCAGAAGGGCAATTGACAGGCAAGATTAGAAATGCTTTTGTTTCTGTCCATAGAAATGCTATGAAGTCTCGGAAAAGCAAGAGGTGGTGGTGTTAAAAGAGGGAGTCCGACATTGATTAGATGCATAGTTGACTAGTAAACTCCCTATACAATTGCCACTTCTGAAGCAATCAGTAACTACAGAAGAATGCAAATGGAAGTTAATAAACCATGCTCTTCCTTAAACAGGGAAGTGTGGTTTGTAAGAAATTCTGCTTTAGAAGTGTCAAATTGCACTGATACTTCTCAAGTGCAAATTTCTATATTCAATTGTTACTCCCAAAACATCTATACTACTAATATAATTATTTTTGTCAATAAAACACATAAATGGTGTATTTCAATAAAATTTTACCAGAAATACTAGAAATTTCATGAAGTTTGGTAGGATGAGTCTTGGGAAAGGGTAAATAAAACTACAAGTAGAAGCATGATATCAGCATATTGGATGGGTTACTTGTACCAGTTTGTGTCTATTTTTCTATCTGTATCAGAGAATTGTGGTTCATCAATTCTGTAACACCTTTTTGGGAGAAGGAAAATTTTTGGAGTACTGAATAAGTTGTTTAAGCTATTAAAATGCAAAGCCTCAAATAATTCTTGGTAACAAGCTAACAACCACTTCAACATAATGTGAAACATGCATGCTTCCTCTGCAATTTATGGTCCAGGGCATATTTAACAGGTTGGCGGGCCTAAAAGGATGGGTGCAACTTGGTTGTTGTTAAGAGTAAACAACAATTAACAGTCCTTAAACTGAATGGTAGGATCATCTTTTGGGCCATCATTATATACCAAAAAAACTTATCAAACAGTTAGAAGTTTTGGGTTAGGAGGTCATACAAGTAATAATCATCAGTTGGTGGGTCCAAATGCAAACAAAATGTTGACACACACCTCAAGCATAAATTAATGGAAGAGAACTATATCTTACAGTTAATAGGAAGCTGGCAAATATATACACTAGAAAATCAGGCAATGCATCTCCTTCTGCAAGATATGTATCCCAAAGACGTGTTACAAGGTGGAAAGGGATCTGTAAGAGGAAAAGTGATATGTTAGTAGTAAAGCCCATATTGTTCTGGACTGCAACTTGCCATTCTGTAACAAGAAGATGATAGGTTCATCCCAATCTTTGTTCCTAAATATTGAACAAAGAAATGAATGATAAAAGAAAATATTAAAGTAGAAGAAAATAAAAGTTAATGGAAGCATACCTCACGTATTAGAAGACAGTTGAACCAGCGGAAAGCAAACTGAAGAAACTCCAGGCCTTGTTCATCCATGTGCCTTGAAACAGGTTCTTGTTTCCAAACAAATAAAATTTTTAGAAACTATGCAGCAAAATTTGTATCTGGAGATTGACAAATAGGACGCCTTTGATAGATAAATATAATGCAATATATTCTAAGTGATCATAACATCTATTTTCCATGGTTAATGAAAGGCATAATAATACATATGTTACAAGCAGAGGGAAACAGCAGCCCCCATTTAATGGATATTTCCTAGGGCCATTGGGCAAGGCTACATCCTTTTCAGTTTGCTTTAATGTAATACTTTACCTTTTCTCTCAAATATTTTTTTTTTTTTTGAAAAAAGGTAAGGTAACTTTATTGAAGATGAAATAGCAAACAGAATGTGTATGAAATCCATTGAGGCCCAAGAAACAAGAGTACAGATAAGATTAGATCTCCCCAGCCAGCAGCTGGGCTCCTAAAGTCCTAGGATGAAGTCCATTCACAGCAGCATTCCAGGATATTAGCTTTCCAAATGTGTATGAAATAAGTTGATCCATTTCGCAACTTTTGTTTTGGAAAATTCTGTTATTCCTTTCAGTCCAAATAGTACTTAATACCACAGCTGGGAAGCCTGGGATGGAAGACCAGACACTCTTTGTGATCTTGGACTAGCCTTTAAACTCCCAACACCATAGTAGATCACACACCGTCTCTGGCATGACCCAGTGGAGCTTCCAAAGAGACAAGAAATGGCACTAGATTGTATAAGACACAGAGCAGTGCAGGAAAAGGTGGTTATTCTCCTCTTCCACTTGATTGCAGAGCACACAGTCCAGGTTTTGGAGCTGAATACCTCTCCTTACCAGATTCTTTTTGGTGAGGCTTTTGTTTAAAGCCACTGCCCAGAGTAGAGCATTTATCTTTGAAGGGACAACCTGCTTCCAAACTTTCTTAGCAGGAAACTCAGCTTGAGGGCCAGTTGCTACTTTTCTAGCAAAGGAATTAACAGAGAAAACTCCATCACTACTCCAGCTCCAGTTCCATGTATCCTCCTCCAGTAGATCCAGCTTGTGGTTACACAACAGATCCAATAGATTTGAGACCCAACCTATTTCCCAGTCTTGAAAGTGTCTCCTAAACGAAGGGCTCCAAATCTGTAAATTGTCTCGAACCTCACAGCAGTTAGCCACTAGGACATCTGGATCTTCTGCAATCTGAAACAGCTGAGGGAATAACTCTGCTAAAGGCTGGTTGCTGCACCAACTATCCTTCCAAAAACTAACCCTTTTCCCATTTCCCACTTTCACCAAGAGACCTCTACTCATCAGAGGAAAAATCTCCATGATTTTCTTCCAAATAGAGCAACCTAAAGAGGTAACAGAAGTGACTGTCACCCAGTCACCTCTATCAGTGTTGTATTTGGCTGCAATCAAGATTCTCCACCATCTCTCTCTTTGCCAAATCTCCAGATCCACTTACCCAGAAGAGCTTCATTAAAGGTTCTCAATTTCCTGACCCCTAGCCCACCTTTTTTATTAGGGGCACAGACCTGGTCCCAGATAACCAAATGAATTTTCTTTTCTTCTTCCCACCCTGTCCACAAGAAGTCTCTCTGCAGCTTTTCCATTTTTTGGGCTACCTTCCTTGGCATTGGGAAAAGGGATAGGAAGTAGAAAGGCAGACTTGATAAGGAGCTTTTTAACAGTGTTATCCTACCTCCTAAAGAGAGATATTTTGACTTCCAAGAGGCCATCTTCTTTTCTAACCTCTCCAGAACCAGATCCCACACTACGAAGAAGTAGATCTAGCCCCCAAAGGGAGCCCCAGATAAATGGTTGGCAATAATCCAACTTGACAGGCCAGAATTTCAGCTAGTTCATCAAAGTTCTCTACTTTTCCCACAGGAATTAATCTGCTTTTCGCCCAATTCACTTTCAGCCCTGTAACTATCTCAAACCAACAAAGGACCCCAAACAGCACTTCCAACTAATTTTTATCAGCATCAATGAAACAAAGGGTGTCATCAGCAAATTGTAGCGACTGGACTTTTTTGCCCCCAGGAGTGGTCTCAAAGCCATGCCACATGCCTGCACTTCCCACCTTATTCACAAAAGCTGTTAATAACTCTATCACACAGATGAATAGGAGAGGAGAGAGGGGGTCACCTTGCCAGAGACCTCTAGAGCTCTTGAAGAAGCCAGCTGATTGTCCATTTACTAGAACTGAAAACTTAGGGGAAGAAGTGGATACCTTCATCCAGTTCCCCCATCTTTGACCAAAGTTCATTTTATTCAAGACAAAATCCAAGCACCTCCAGTTAATGTGGTCATAGGCCTTTTCCAAGTCCAGTTTACATATCAGCCCAGGTTTTCCTTCCCTTTGCCTTGAATCGATCAGTTCATTAGCCACCAAGACACTATCCAACATTTGTCTACCCGGCACAAAAGCAAACTGATTTTTTGCAATCACTGAGCTCAGGACCTTCTTCATTCTCTCTGTTAAAACCTTAGCTAGGATCTTGTAGAAGCTGTTCAACAGACTTATTGGTCTGAAGCCTCTTATATTTATTGCTCCCTCAACCTTTGGAATTAGAGATGAAGGGTCACATTAAGACATCTTTTAAGAGCAGCATTAGAGTGGAAATCTTGAAACACCTTCATCAGATCCACCTTAATCACCTCCCAACATTTTTTATAAAAGATATTAGTGAGCCCATCTGGCCCTGGGGATTTATCCACTTCCAAGTTCTTTATCAGATGTCATACCTCTTCCTCAGTGAAAAAGGCTTCTAGGTCTCTTTGTTGGACATCTGAAATCCTCTTCAAATCCAAATCAATAGGGAGGGGTCTCCTTTTCCATTTTTCCTAGAACAGATTGGAAAAGTATTGGGTTTCTATACTCTTCAAACCACTCCAACCTTCAGCCACCTGGCCATCAAACTCTAATCTTTCTATTTGGTTAACCCTTCTCCTAGCATTTGCCATCCTATGGAAGAAACCAGAATTTTTATCACCTGATTTCAGCCAATTTACTTTTGCTCTTTGTCTCCATTTTATTTCATCCCTATAAGCTAGCTTGTTAAGAATTAGCTTAGCTTCAAGCCTCTTTTTCCTTTCTTCCTCTGAGATAGGACCAACCTCTTCAGCCAAGCCAATTTCTTTGATTAGGTCCAGACAGTTCCTTTTTTCTGATTCCGACTGTTCTTTAAAACCTTGTCTCCAGGATTTTAGGAAGTCTTCAACCAAACTAAGTTTCTTGGCAAGGATATGAGAGTTGGAACCCAGAAAATCAGACTCCGACCATACTGAAGCTAGTAAAGATCCTATGCTGTCTTCTTCGAACCAGGCATTTTTCATTTTGAATGGGCTTTTTCTCGATCCTAGCATCCCACACAACAGCTGAACAAGAGCATGATCTGAAACAAGCCTTGGAAGGATGATCTGTCTCACTTGTTGGAAGGCCTCTTCCCATCCGGTGAGACCAGAAATCAATCAGGTTTGACCAGGGGCGGATTTTCTTGATTATTTGTCCAGGTAAACTGCCCACCTAAGAGAGGCAAATCTAAGAGCTCAAACGGGTTCACAAAATTTGCAAAGTTCCTCATCTCTCTTGTTCTCCGGCAACCACCCTTTCTGATAAGACCAAGAGCTGCGGCAAACCAATGCCTGTACACGGGAATAGCCAGCCTGCCTACCAAGTTTGCAAAAAAAAGGGAGAAGCCACGTCAGCAAGAATGTAGTCCAAGTGGCTGACTGTTAGAACAGAATAGCAGTCCTACAACAAGCTGTAACCATCTTGTAACAGACTGCAACTGTAAACAACTTACCTGTCTATAAAAACCCGAAGAAGAAATAAAGAGCCACGAAATTCCATCTGAACAAATCTCTCTCTCTCCCTCTGAATCCCCTTTTCTTCCCCTCTCTCTTTTTCCCTTCAGTTCCTCTTCCCTCACGAGCTTGGTTCACTCTACGAACCCTGAGTTAGGCAGCACCTAACACTTTCTGTCCTCCATAAATCTGATTACAAAGTCTCCTCCCAGAACCCAAGGGATATTGTGCCCCCTTCTTGCCTCTGCTAAACCCTCCCAAAGTTTTTCCTTTTCAGCACTAACCGTCGGGCCATAGACATTTGTGAAGTACCATTGACCTCCTCCTTCAAGCTCCAAAATTACTGAAAACAGAGTACTCTCCTACCTGAGAATGAATTAACTGCCCTTTCACTCTGTCCCAATGAATTAATAAACCACCTGCAGAACCTCTCGTCAGCTTCCCCACCCACCTCACTTGACCCTAACCCCAAATACTTCTAACCACCCCAACATCCATGCATTCCAGTTTAGTCTCCTGTAGGAATACCACATCTGACTTCCATCTTTTAAGCATCTCAGGCACAACCACCCTCCTTCTTCCCGACCCCAACCCCCTCACATTCCAAGTTAAGACTTTCAATTCCATGAAGAACAGTGGACCCTTATCCCCTTTTTAGGTCTTTTTCTTCACCCCTCCCCCTTTTGACAGCCCATCCCCTTTTCCCGCACTGTCTTTCAGACCAAGCCAATGCCAGTCTCATCATCTCCCTGTTTTTCCTTCCTTCCTGTTTCCCTTTCTTCCCCTACAATTTTCTTCTCTCCACCAAATACCTTTTCTCAATATTTTCTAGGTACCTCACCGTCTCTTCCTCCAACCCTTCAATGGATACCCCTAGGAAATTTCCCAGATCCAGCAGCTTTGACAAAACCCAGGAAGAGGCTTCTGCCACCCTTTTTCCTTTGTCGATCCTTTTCCCTTCTTTTTCCCCACCTTCCCCTGCTATACACACACACACACATATACACATATAGATACACATACACTTTACCTATAACTGAACCATGATCAGATGAAAACAACTATTTATTGGATCTTGGATTCTGACATGGTTTTATGTGATATTGTGATGTTTATCTCTGTTATGTAACACTTCTGTAGGCTTTTTTTCTTTTTCTTTGTTTCATAATAATCACTAATTGAACCATTGCACTCATCAAATTCAACATACAAAGTTTCTTAAGTTTTGCACCTAT